GTAAAAACAAGGGCTACGTCTGTTCTGCCTTCTCGGGATTGGATAGAAAAGCAAAGCGAACGGGTCTGGTGGTGAACGAGGATAAAACGAAGTATCTCCTGTCATCACACAAACAGTCAGAGCATACGCATCTTGGTACCCACGTCACTGTTGACAGTTACAAGTTTGAAAAAGTAGACGACTTCGTTTATTTGGTTACCAGCATTAACACCACGCCTGAATTAGAGTCGTTTATCTACTACTAGTCGACACTTGCAATAGGGGTCTCGGTTTCGGTTTCGTTCCTTTTCAAGTCAAGATAACGGTTATGGTTTCGGTTTTGAAAAACGAAACGGTTTTAAACGGTTTAAAACCGATAATTTTCGAAAGCTCAAAGCTGGCAATATTTCTAGAAGGCGTGATTTTATCCGATTTAAAAAATTTTCAAGACGGAGTTTAAACGGTGTTACGTAAAAAAAAAACTCTTATTGGCGACGGAAAACATATTACAGTTATCAGGCAACTTAAAAAGTGAACGTTGGGTTTGGGTTATAACTCTTATCGGCAAAATAAAAAATATTTCTCACCTAGTAATCGTTATGGAACACCGTGTCCCTGATTTAAATCATTATATTTAAACCCTTTAATATCTTTTTTAAACGACCATAAATACTAAGTGTTCAACCGCTTTTAATCGCAATTAAACCACCAAGAATTTCAGTGTTCGCCAATTTTTTATTTTTTTTTTTAATTATGGTAGCGAAAAAAATATCTGGCAATCGGTTTTGTTTTGGAACTTTTGTGATTTTATTTCTGGTGATATTTTAATCCGTCCGTTTTTAGTGATGTCATTTGTAAAACTTTTGCAAAACGAATGAGGAAAATTTAATTTTAGCACTTTAACAACGTTTTTATTACTTAATATATGTTGAAATCTTGATTTTTGCCAAAAGCACAATTTTTTCAAGACTATTTAATTACTTTCATCAATTTTGATTTCTGTAAACTTAAATCTTGTAGGTAGTTTTGCAACATTATGTAATATCACTCACCGCACTAACACCTATAATACACGCTAATAACGGTAGAAAATTTCTTATTATATTCAAACCAAAAAGCATTTCCGTATGTTATTCAATATTTAAAATAGATTCAATTTTTTATAATCTTTTAGTTTTTGTAGAGAAACTAATCGTATAACCGCCTAAAAACTCATGATTCGCCGCTGCGAGTTTCAGTTACTTTTATAATCTTCATAGGACGCAGTACACGGAATAAAATTATTATGAAACTTGGGAATGTGTGGTATAAGACACATAAACATATGAAATATCGCTTTTCATGTGTACCTCCCGACTTTTGTACAACATGGAATTCTGTACCAAATTAGATAGGGCCTTTCGTTATTAGGGTTAGGGAAAGCTCGAATTTGCTTGCTAAATGAATTTCACCACTCGTCTTTGGCCAGATGGATTCCAGTCGATAGTTTTTCTTGCGATGCAATCAGCTGACTTACGTAGCGTGTGGGCAATCCAAGACCACTTGGTCTTAAAAATTTGTTGTGTAAGCGCCCACAGTAATTGGTTGGGAATGACCTCGAGTCAGGTAATGAGTGGAATCTTTCGGCGGCAATGGTTGATGACAGATTGGAGACATCCATAGAGAAGGACAGATTTAAAATTCAAGTTAAATAGCCGGAGCCTTGTAAATTTGAATAATCATTAAGATCATCAAATGCTTTTAACCATTCTAAATGCTTGCTTTTTCCTTGCCAGCATGAGACACTATAGCGTGGAGTTTAGCTTGAATATCTAAAGGCCTCTCAGTTAAATCGCAACTGTCATCCAAGTATTTTTAGCCTTCAAGTCGCTCAAGTAGGCCCAATCCGATTATTTTACCTCTTCATGTTGCATCTCGCATTGCAACAGCCAAGGTAATATTTAATAAGAGAGAGGACAAAATACTGCTGCTGGCTATTTGTCCTTCAAGAAGGACTCGGCATGGGGTAAAGCTCCATGAGCATGGTTGGTACGCCCTTTACCTTAGTGCATTTCAAATCGCACCATCGCATAAGGTATAGGATGTCTTGTTAAAGTGGATTAATTCAGACTAACGATGTCGATGTTCAGATTAGCGATGTCAGCACAGTTAATATGGGCTGAATAATGGCAATGCTGAGGTCAGTCCATTGGTAAATAAATTTACCAGGCCATATACTGCATATGAAAGGCGTAAATATGTATACATATCGTCGTTTAAAGTACAAAACCGCGTATCGTCATTCTGCAAAACCGCGTAACTGGCATTAGCTGCAAAAATTTGGATTTGCCCACACAAGCTCTTGGCTCAATCCTTATCCACTCGTCCTGAAATATACTGGTCAGGTATGCAATCGCTTTATTAAAAAGAGAGAGCCGGATCCTAGACTACCAGTCCACCCCTGTAAAATTGAAGCAAAATATTTTTTATTGAATAACCTACCAAATCGGGGATGCTCTATCTTTTGGTGTATTTCTGCGTCTCGGTTTCGACCGGAATTAGGTTAAACTGACCGGAAGTCCTTTTTTTAATTAGACACGCATATTTTATTGTCCATCCGGATTCTGCGAACAAAAATACATATCATTTGTCGGACATTTTTTTCTAGAATGGACTTCCGGTCTGTTTAGCCGGAATCGGTAATACGACCAAAATATAGACCATCCCCGGCTTGGTAATTTAAAATTATCGCTTTCCAATAAAAAGTATCTTTACTAATTTAAGAAGTTCAGAACGAGTTGAAGTTCGAAGGTCATTTAGAGGTTGAACAAGGTCGATGTACCACCAGATGATAGAGCACCCTTGATTTGGTAGGTTTAATTTTTGAGTTTTCAATAAAAAGTTCCCTCCATTTTGGAGGCGGTGGACTGCACTGTACATATACATATGTACATGTATGTAGATAGGTCAAACGATCATTCCAGATCTCTAATTGTTCGTTAGATGTACAAATAGTCTCAGCATTCTGATTTTTATCACGCACAGTAAAACTATTACATTCTTTTTTTTTATTTTACTTAAAAAATTTAAAGAAATTTTTAAATGATATACCAAGTGATTATAAGTGGATATTCAGTGATACTATTTTTTTAAGTGCAACAATCTGAAATGCATTATCGGGTAATTAAAATAGCAGGTAAACAGTTACAGCGTTAGGCGACAAAAACTAATTGCTACAAACTTTAAATGATTTGAAAGCTACTAATTATATTTTGGTAAATATTGATCACAATGTAGCCAAAGTACTGGCATCATCAAATCAATTGAAGCTCGTTAGAAACGCATGACAAACGATAGTGTGGCGTATGAGTGATTTTTATAAGCTCTTGAAGCGGCTATTAAGTCTTGCTGTTGTTTGTAGTATTCGTTTTTTTTTCAATTGTTGTTTGTGCTTGTCCTTTGTTGCATGTATGATTTCAAATGCTAATGCTGTATTTTTTCGCAATTTTCACCTTTTTGCTCTGCACCCCCATCAAACCTCAATAAATTGAAACCATCGCTTAAAATTAATGCAAATTATGCCTGCAAAAATACATCACAAACATATGTATTTAAATAAAAAAACGCACAACCACACAATACTTGACATAAAAAGGTTTTACTATACCAGATTTAAAGAATGGAAAAATGGTGAATCGTGCGCGCGGTTTGGTGGTGCGCATCTTTGATGCCATCTGCAACTGTGCCAACACGGCTGCTGGACCGGCGCAACGCATCAAGTTGCGAGCTAAGCGTGCAGCATCAGCAGCGACAGCACCAGCTACAGAAAATGGCACAGATGGTAAGAAGGACGCAAACGTCAAGGAGAAAAAGAGCGACAAGAAGCAAAAAGATGGTGACATCGCTGCTGCTAAGGCAACTAAAGAAGAAATTAACGGAGAGAAAGGTATTGAAAGCGTTAATACACCTGTCGAGGATGGGAAGAAGGAAGCTGATGCAGTTGAGAAACAGGAAACGGAAGCAGATAAGCATTAATTGTATGCATGAATGTGACAAAATACTACATACATATGCGTGTGAGTAATAAGAAAACATTGCCAATAATATAATTTCCATTGCTTTAAGGAGTCTCCAAAATAAGGCAAGTGGATGGAGAAGTCGAAATTTTCGGGCAGGGAACGTATGTATGTAAATGAGGAGTTGCAAGTTTTGCATTGTTAAACATAATTTGATATAATTAAACTTAGGGCAACTTGGTCAATTTAAAAGCATTTATACAGGAAAATTTTGCATATAATATAGTACATACATATGTACCTATGTATTTACCAGGGATGGAAAAGTATGCACAATCGTGCTATTTTCTCTCTTTTTAATGCCACCCGGCCCTTTGCGTACTTAGATTAAAAAATATGGTTATGCTAATAAAATTTAAATTTTTTCGGCTTTCCAACGTATGTACAATATTAGACTGCCTCGCTCCCCATACAAAAAACAATCGGTATTGTGGTTCCTTTGGAATTATAATATCTATTAAATTTTAAGACTTGCACCAAAATATTTCGAAAAAATAATAAGATTTACGTGAGCTGAACCGATTTGAAAATACTTCCAAAAATTTAGTTTTTTATGAATAAAAAGTTTCTTAAATAATTTTTTGAAAAAATATCCTCAGATGAGAAAACAGTTCAAGCCTAAAAAATCTGTATAAATACATTAAAAAAAATGTTTCAACGGAATCGTAATAATAAGATTTTTAATACTTTTCTAACTCTTTTCAAATATTGGTGTAAGAAAAGCTTGAATAACTCGACCAAAACTATTCCGATATACACTTATGAGGTATTATTGGAAAGGTATTTTCTCTTTCATTTATTCTTTTATTTCTATTGGTAAAGGGACGCGAATGAGTTAAATTTTGCAAAAAATAAAAAAAATGGTTAAATACCAACCAGTGATACCTCATAAATCTAAATCTAAATAGTTTTGGTCCCACTTATTCAAGTTTTTCTTAAACCAATCTTTGAAAAAAGTTAAAAGCAGCATCAAAAATCTCATTATGATTTCGTTGAAGAATTTTTTAAATATTTTTATGCAGAATCGGGTTTTCATTCTTTATCTTTTTTCAATAAGTTTTTTAAGAAACTATTTCGTTGAGTTCTTAACTCTTGCTTCATGGAAACTTCAAAAACTCAATCATATCTTTTCCAATTTTCGAGTTCAAGGAACCATGGTTAACACTGATTTCAATCATATCTTTTCCAATTTTCGAGTTCAAGGAAGCATGGTTAACACTGATTTCTACGATGTTATTAAAACATATATTTTTCTCTCATTTTTATATCTTTGACACAGTAGTCTATTGCCATCCCCGAATTTATAAGCAAATAAATGGTCTGAAATGTTTAGGTTTTCAAGAAAGCTAAAATGGGGAAACAACCTTCCAATATTCGGCCCTTTAATCTATATTGCGGCACATTTTTTATCCGATTGCGGCCTCATTTCAAATATTTAAATTCCATCCCTGGTATGTATATATGTATGGTATGTATGTATGTTTATTATTAAGCGTTCCTACCAGGGAAGTTGCGAATATTTGGATTCGCATTCGTTATGTGAATAATTCGCATCATTTTACACATTCGCATTCGCATCGAATGATACGAATGTTTTGCGAATGCGAATGTGTACATGGGCAGAGAGTTCACTCTAATATTGTTGAAATGGCTCTAAGTCTTTCTCATGAACCAAAAATACAAGATTTCGCCTTCTTCTTAGTAGCCCGTTATAATCGCATTTAGGAAAAAAGTTGGGCGACTTTGACATTAGCCGTTTGTTTACATTTGTTCGTTATTTACAATTTGGTGGTGGCTTTTTGCTGCAATTTTCTTAATTTTCGCTTGTGACAACGTGTGCACACATACGGTAAAGAATAATTCAACACAACGACATGATTTATAGAACAATTTGCATAATAAAAATGATTATTCATGCATTCAACAATTACGCGGTTTTTTTTGTTCTCTTCGTTGTTTACTTCTTACAACAAAGATGGCGTCGAGATTTCAACAGCTAGAAAATAACTTTTTTCTTTCTTTCGGGAAGGCGGGATCTTGTGTCTTTCGTTCATGAGTCTTTCTAACCAGCATGCGGGCAATAACCGGCTTTTAGCTTCAGGCGCTAAACGGTTAAGTAGCATATCAAGCAAATTGATGGGCCTTCAACAAGTACTGCTAAAAGTCTTATAAGCAACCTAGAAATAATTTAAACTCTGCATAGGTTAAGCTCTCGTTCTATGTTCTAATAATTTAAAAAAAAATTAAGTAATAAGAACGGTGACTTAAGTTGATTATAGCTTTCTTAACGCTATTTCTAACATTCGCATTTGCGAATGTGAAAAATATGACATTCGAAACATACTAGTTCTTACAATAGTTTGACATACATAAACACCATTTACAAGTGTTCCATTGCCGACTTTCTGACTTTTCTATTCACTTACCAACCATCGCTGATTTACTCTTCTGTCGCCTAAAACATACACACTTAGATATTAAATAAATGATTGCCGTAATAATTAAGCAAAATTAAGTAAGAGGAAATATATGCATACATAGTTTCCAGGCAACCACTCAACGGTTTTCCAAGCACAAGTGCGGCTCAAATGTTGCATTTAATTTGCACAACTACATACATACATAAATAAGCTATAACTTAAACAAAACGTTTAGCTATAAGAAGGTAGAATATACAAAAACAAGTATGTAATAAATCACAATCGATGTCACTCATTCCACAAATAAATTATCTTTACAATTGTCCACTTTTTATAGACCACTTATTGTCTAAACTAGTCAAAAAAAACATACTATATGCTTGTATTAATATTTGTATGTTTCACAAATCCACCGTTAATTAGACTTTAGGCATGTAAGCCTTGTAAAAGTGCGCTTTAGTTGACTGAGTAATAGTTTTTTTGCAACAACGGGAACTTTAAGACTAAATACCATTTTTGGTGTGAAACCATGTGAAACCTGTTTGGTTTGGGCACTGTGAAATTTTACTTTGTACCAGGGACCGAGAACAAAAGGTATTATCGAAACTAAATGTCGCTCTTGTAGTTTTCTTAAAAACTTGCTTAAAGCCCAAACTGAAATGAGAAAAAAGCGTTTGGGAGTGTTTCCACAGGGACGAAAGTGAGAATAAAACTGACGAGAACGTTCTCAACGGGAATTATATAAGAACAAAAACTCGGGAACGTTCCCGAAGCAAAAAAATGCAAACAATATGTTCGGGGACTTTTTTAAGAGGACAAAATGGGAACAGAAGTCTCCGGAATGTTCTGGTAAAGAACAAAACGGTAACAGACGTCTAAGGAACTTTCTCTCGTAGAACAGTTTGGCAAGATAATGAAACGGGACCAAATCTTCTCTGAACTATTCGCGAGAATTAAGTCAACTTAAGACACGAACTTTTTTCTTTAGCTCAGAAAATTAAAATTTGTTCCATACATGGATAGTCCACCCTATTAACAAACGATCTGGAAGTTAAAATGATCCATCTTTCCTCTGGCTTAAAATTAACAATCATTGTCCCAACTGAAACGATTTTTCATAAGCACACGCAGACACACCTCTCATTCTTAACGTTAAATTCTCAAAAATTTTGTTCTATAGCAGAACGTTCCCGAGACTTTCTTTCTCATTGGAAAAATTCCCGAAAATTTCGTTCTCATTCTGTACTTCTTGTGAACGTTCTCGAGAGTTTGATTTCACATTTTAGTCCTTTTTGAGAACATTCCCGAGAGTTTTCTTCGCATTTTGTTCTTTGCGGAAACGTTCCCGAGCCTTTTGTTCTCATTTTGTTCACGTTCAAACTAATTTCAATACCTTTTTTACCGTTTGGTTCTTTTGTGGGAACGTTCTTGACAATACATTTTGTTCTCGTGTTGAATTGAACCAAAACCGGAACGCGTCCTCGGTCAATCCTTTGTATTTTTATAACAGGGGTGGGCAAGCCGGTGGCTAATAAGAGCTACATTCAAATTATGTTTGTTACAAAGAGTACAAAAATCACTCATAAAATTACTAAACTTAACCAGCTAATGCTTAGGTTTTCTTTTGGGTCTTGATCAAAAAATTCTCCCCGACATTTTATTCGAGGACTTACATATATATTGCAAACTGCATCACCAAAAAAAGTTGCGGTTTTTCCACAGCAATTACAAAATTTAGTATATTTGAAAACTTCATTGAAAATATTTTAGAAAAATATTAAGATTTACGTGAGCTGGGCGGATTTGAAAATACGTCCCAAAATGGAATCCCCTCAGAAGACAAAACACCGCAAGCTTAAAAAATCTGCATAAACATACGTTTTGTCAGTATCGTTTGAACAACAATCGTTTCAAAGTAACGTGATTTATGTCCAGGTCTTGTTCTGACTGCAAGGACTTTTAAAATGCGGGCAGAAGCAATCTCTTTCTTCTTCGTCACACTTCCTGTTGGGCTGTTGCCTTAACTTGTGAATGCAGTAGAGACTTGAGTATCTGCGGACTTAACCTTTCAAGTAGTTTACTTTCTTGTTTCCTAAAAAATAGCCAAATACGAAGGCTCCAAACAGTACTCTAAACTTTAGAATTACTTTAAATTTTCTCAGAGAGTTTTTATTTAAAAGCTTTTTAGTTTTTTTATGATTATAGTTTTAAGCGATAATTATCTTGAACATCGATGAATTTTTTAAACTTGTATGAGGACTTGCTTTGCCGGAAAAATTCCTTTATTTTTGATTTTTAATTCCTAATTACAATATAACCCATACCAATACTACCACACAAAAAATATCCACCTGCGTATGCATATGATCATTATCGATAACTATCAAAATTTACTATCACAAGCAAATATTTGTGTAAGGGTTTATTAACCCACGTACATACATATAATTGATGAGGGAATTATACGAGCACACAATCAATGTATTTTCTAACTAATTAACCTCTTATACATATTTACATACCTACTATACATACATATATACTTACTTATAACCGCAATATAAACTAGTTAAGAGATAATTACTAATGAATATTATGCAAAAGATAAGAAGATACTTAATTGAATGTAGGTAAATGTTATATGGACATATATATATATATATATATATATATATAAACACATATATATATATATATATATATATATATAAAATTTATATATATATATATATATATATATATATATATATATAAACTTTATATATATATATATGTATATACATACATATAAATACAGATATCATATAACACTTGATTCGGGATTGTATGAATGTGCAAAAATAGCAAATTAACACTAATCAGAGCATTTTACATTTAAAAAGAAAAATGTTTGTAAAGCCTAAATGTGTACTGATTTTATGAATCCAAATATCTTGAAAGTCCTTAGGTGTTTGCTCACTGAAAATCATTAACTGTACTTTTACAGTAGACGTACTAAATGTCATTAACAGAACAAAAAGAAAACACGATTTTGCAAGGCACCGTTTTGAGTTAGTGAGGTTTTTGTAAAGCTGTATACACACTTATATACATATGTACTTGCAT